AGCACTGTCACTCTAGATTAGTATTCCCCTCTGCTGCCAATGTGTAAGCACCCCCTCCTCTGCCGTGCCTCTCCTTCCTTTGCTGCAGGTATGTCCACACTCCCCCAAGCACAGGGCTCACAGGGCTGGAAGGGGCTGCCTCCCTCCTGCAGTCAGGCACATGGAGGGCATCAGAGCAGGCTGTGCCCTCCTTCTGCACCATGGCTGGCTACAGACGGGTGCCCCACCCTCAGAAGCCCCTCTGCCTCCCACCCACATTGTCATGGGCAGAGGCAGCTTGGCCTAGCACCCCTTGCCCCATGCCAGGGCTTGCTATGAGCAGTCCCATCTGCTGCTGCCACCCTCCACCCATCCCCACAAGAACCGCATCACTCTTGCAAGACAGGTCTTTTTTCCCGCAGTATCATGAGGGCTCACCTGTAGGGAAAGGGTGGCTGGAGCAGAGGCATGCCAGGTGTTAATAAATCTAGCAGCCTCTTCTGCTGGTTTGTGAGCTCTGCTGCACTACAGCAGTGCCCACATACAACTCCCCACCCTACACTAGCATATATCCAGCCACAGGATGTAGACTTTCCACTTCTGCTGCTCACTATGCTTTGTACTGCCCACTCCCTAATTGCAAGGATATATGTCTACACATCTACCTGCGTAACCAGCTGACAGCAAGGCACTAGAGTCACTTGCAGGGGCAGGAAGCATCTGCACCTTGGCCCCAACACCCCGCTTCTCTCTGTTCCAAGAGTATTCTCCCAGAGCCACTGGGAAAGGCACCATGGATCTTCCATGGATCACACCAGGCAGTGGTGGGTGTCGATGAGTTCAGACAGCATTGGGGGGATGTGACAGTGGGGCTTATTGAAAGTCCCGAGGAATACCAGGGATGAGCTGGGAGACAAAGACAGGGTGGGAGGCAGAGTGGGGGACATTGGCTTTTCAGGGTGCTTGCCCTGTTGCTGATGTCCTGCATGTAGCCCATGTGCTGCTTTCATTTAGAACAAGTTTGCTGAAATGCTTCTGTGAAAAAATCAGTGGCAAAGCACCTCACAAACAGTGATGTGCGAACTGCAGCAATCACGTAGGAATGCTAAACACTGCTGTCTCCAAGGTCCCTGCTGGAGGCAGTGTGCTTCTCTGCGACTGGTGACATGCCAAAGCCACAGGTGGGCATCTAGAGGGAAGTGCAGAAGGCAGAGATGGGAAGGAGGTGCTGATACATTTGTTGCTAGGCACATCTGTCCAGCTCAGCTGTCCAGCTGAGCATTCAGGCAGGAACCTCTCCTCCAGCAGCGGCCACTCTTTTCATAGAATTCTATGGTAGGAGCATGGAAACCATGTTTCTGGATTCATACAATCAAACAAGCCATGCAGAATCATGGAAACCAAACACCACACCACTGCTTCTCTCTGTGGTTACATGGAAACCAGGTATACCACAAGGTTGCTAACAGGGTCCAGAGAACATGGCAAACCAAGCCACAGTGGTATCCTGCATGGTTTAGCATGATGCCTGAGCCTGTTTTATGAGCCCTGATATATTTCATCCTGTCATCAAGAACAGGAATCTAGAGCACAAAGGCAAGCAAAGTGCAATTCAGTTTCATTAAAAGTTGCATACTTCAAACACAACAAAGGATTATTATCAAACAGTGGTGGCTATCTATCCTTGGGTACAATTAATCCCTTCAGTAAAGGAGGATGGCCAGTTTTAGTCTTCAGGTGAAATTGAGACTTGAATTTCTTCTGGTCATTCTAGAACTCCACTGATGGAACAATCAAAATGTTCTGGAATCAGATTACCAGATTCTTCATTAAACCCCTTAGATGACAATCCCACATTTGTGTGGGATTATATCCTTTTGAGCTCAACTCAACTATTTTGAAGAGAAATATATAGGGTTGCACTCCTGGTGTCATTCTGTCTTTAACAGCATGACTGGAGCTAGTTGTATTACATAGTTCTTATTTAGAGGAATCTCTTGACTAGCTATCCATCTTATAGTGACTTCAAAGTAGCGACACCAATATTTTGGAACACTCTGCTCAGGAATGTGTGGGTTGGCCTGCTGGTTTTTGCCATTGGGTGAAGACATTTCTCGTCTGCCAGCCTTATACCTGCTAAGAATTTATTTTATTTTGAGGTTCTTTTATCTATATGCTTGTGGAAACCAGATGTACAGTTTTATATTGTATAGTGGTTTCAGACCGCTGTGAGCAGGTCTGAGTAATGGATGTTCACTAGAAGAACAAGATATGAGTTTCTATATAATTTCATCAAAGTCAATAAACACAGGCACAAAGTCACTCCTATTGCTATTCTGTAAAACTGGTCATTCAAACCATGCAGTGATGTCAGCAAACCAATTCAGCAATGTCACAGTATCAGGAAAACAAACAGTTAATTTCTGCACAGCAGTGTCTGAATCAATGAGTTCTCAAAGTTTAACAATGCATCCTATGACAATTATTATATTAAGACCTCAAGTGACATCTTAAGTCATTGCTGCTTCCCTAGTATCCAATGCCAATGTCCCTATTCCATTGTGATGGGCTATGCTCTTCAGGGCTTCTCCTTAATCCTTGCAGTCCTTAAAAAAAAAATAGACCACTATGAGTAGCACAGCAAATGATTTAACATCCTTCTCCTGAGTGCATTGTGACATTGTTGTAACCAGTAGCTAAACACACAAACACACAGTGCCAGAATGTAATGCATTAAAGGGGGGGGGGAACGTAAAATGAACAAAGTATTACTTCTTGGCCCTTTGCCTGAATTGCATGACATTTCATAAAGGAAAAAAAAGTTACATTTGTATTACAGCCTTAATTTCACCCCAGCATTTTCCTTTTCGATAGAAGTAGCAACTCAAGACAGGGCAGATATTACTACCCAAAAAGGGGTCTCCAGTCTTTATTATTGCAGGGGACCCAGAGACCAGTGCCCCCTGTGGGGCTTCACCCTCTCTTTGCTCTTGCAGATGTCACATGTTTGCATGACAGGCAAACTTGTAAATACAGGAAGGCACAATAATTGAAAAAGCTACACCTGTTACCCATTTAAATATTACCAATTTTTCCCAGCTTTCCTGAAAAAAAAGTGGGCAAGCTACTTGTTCTGTGATGCTTTCAGAATTTACTTCTCCAGTGATACTGTTGAATAAAAGCGATTTGCTTCTGATTCTCTTCTCATGGTGATTAGCTAAAGCCTGAGTCCTCCCTTCTTGTTCCTCCTCAGTGGTTCATACATTGTGAAGGTGGAAGAGGGATGGCCACCTTCTAATCAGAGGGAACAGTTTCCTAGGAAAGGGGTATGAACCAATATATCTCAGAGCTGATTCAGTGCTGTTTGTTAGTTCTTGAAGTAGGAACCTTAAGGGCACATTCCTACGCAAGTTTAGACAGAAAAACGGTCTACAACTCCCAGTATACTCCATAAAGCTATGTTTTTAAGGGCTGCAGCATAAAAAAAAGCTGGATGGAGGACCTGTAGGACTTGGGAGGGTGTAACATGGGGTGACTGCTGGTTGTTCTAGTCCTCCATAGTGCTCATCCACCCTAGTCCTGCCACTCTGATGCCAAATGAGCAGAAGACAAACACTTTTGAGCTGTGTTTCATTCAGCACAACTCTCTAGCTCTGATACCGATCTTTCTGAAAGGGCACAGGCTTTTTGCTCCAGGGATCCCACCATGGCATATGCCATTTTCATACAAATTGCCAAAACCGGAAACTAAAACCCACCCATGGAGGGAATCCCTTCTACAGAAAAGTTGCACCCATCCTTCTGAATTTTGCAAGTATCTTAGCTTGGGGCGCCTCTATTGTGTTCGTTATTTTCATAACAATTGCTCTCAAAGAAGATAAGGAGATAAGCATATCTCAAAACTGTATAGGCTATTCTTACACAAATCCTTGTTCGTTCTTCTAAAACCGGACAAACTCGATTCCTTAACTATACTTGGGCATTTCTTAGTATTCCATGGAGAAATACAAAACTTATCAGTAGTTCTATTTGTTTTTAAAAACTCACAATTTGAAGGCACTGATCACAACCCCCCGCACATTCTAATGTTAAACTTGCCAGGCAAATATCCTCGTAAGAGTCTAGTATACCTGTAAACTGTAAAGACCACAGCCCTGCAACTGCCAGCATACAGAGCCAGCACGAGAGTCGCAGGACCCCTTTCCGTTAGGATTCCCCGTAACCCTGGTCTCAGAAAGCGAAACTAAGTTAGGAAGGGACTTGCTGCGTTACGCGATTGCACAAAAAACTGCGCCGAACTAAAGCGCTCCGGGAGAGGCAGCAGGCGAAAGGTTTCCTGGGTGGGAGGGTACTGCTGCTGTCACATCGACGTTGCCGACATCCGGCTCACCTGCGGAGTCAGCCCTGGGCGCCAGAGGCGTCCTGCAAGGCGGGGACAGCTACGGCGAGGCGACCTTGCCTGCCGCAGGCCGCCTCCCACCCTCGGCCCGCCTTGCGAACCTCGCTCGCTCGCCCGCCCCGTCCGCACAGTCAGTGCCGAAGCAATTGGGGCGGGCAGGCATCTCCGCTGTGCCCAGCGCAGGGCGGGGTTGAGGCCGAGGGAGTTTCCTGCTCCACTCCCTGGGCAAGTACAAAGAAAGCAAGCATGGAAGGACAAGAAAAGGCCCCTCCTAATTAAAGGAGCTCGCTCAGAAGCGCCGCCGCCGCCGCCGCCACAGCAAGCTCTCCTCCCTTCATATTGCCCCACCCTCGCTTGCAGCTAAATCCTCCTGCGAACGGGAGGAGACAGACGAAGCCGGAGTTAAGGAGGAAAAAAAACGGGGGGGGGAGAGAAGAGAGGGAGAAAACCAGGTTCTTCTCCTCCTCCTCGATCCACTAGCGCCGCCGCCACCCTCGCAGCTGCGGACCGGGGCAGAGAAGCGCAGGCACACCTGGGCGCCGCCGCCTGCAGCTCGCCGCACGCACGCGGCACCCGCTCGGTTCGCTGCGGCATCCGTCGAGCGCCCTTTGACCAGCCTCGGCTCACCCGGTGAAACATGGCCCCGCTAGCAAGCGCCGAGCGCCTGCGCAGCGCGGCGTGGCTCCGGCTCCTCGCCGGGCTCCTGGTAAGTATGCCCTGGGAGTGCAGTTCGCGTGTGCGCGAGCGGGGCCAGGACGGCGGCGGCGAGGCAGAGGCGCCGAAAGACGCCGCAGCGGGCGCTCCCAGCGGAAAGGCTGTGCGGCAGCCACCCGGCCGGCCGGCGCTCGGGCACTCGCGGAGCGCCGTCGGTGCGCGCCCGACCGCGCTTTGCAGGCAGCCGCTTTGGCGCGGCGGGGCGAGCGTGCGACCAGCCGCCGGGGCGTGTGTGCCGGGCACGGGCATGGGAGACTCCTTCCAGCACACATGGAAGAGCTGTTCTTACTCTTTCTTTTCTGATGTTCTTGTCGGTAATAAAAACTGTTCGGAAAGTTTATTGCTCCGCTCCCTTTCCCACGCGCCTACGCAGAGCGAAACGGGGAGAAAAATGCATCGAGACACGCTGTGAAGATCGGAGGGGTTGTTTTTCCCTGGGGCGGGGCACTTCTCCCTAGGTTCGCGGAAAGTGGCCGCCTGCTTTTCAAGGAGGGTCTCGGTGTGTGCGCTCGAAATGAAGGTCAAATGCCCCCAAATGCTGGCATATAGGAGCGTGCTAATATTTCGAAGGCAACTGGTGGGAACAGATGACCAAGCTGCAATTTGCACTCTGGACTGCCTTTTGACCTCAGCGAGGCTGGAAAAGGGGTGAGGGAAATATCTCCCCGGAGAGGAAACCTCCCAGGACCCACGCCTGGTCTCGGATTTCTGTTTTGCGTTTTGCTGGGAAAGGCACTTAGGTGTCCTTAGGTGACGACGACGGTAGCCTTAAATGTTGCCCATGCCCAGTTCCATACAGCTTTGCCTTTGCATAAGGAACGCCTTTTGTTTCTAGTGCATTGGGACAATCTTAAAAGAAGCCATGCGCCTTGAAATAAGTTGCAGGGGTTTGCCATGGCTCCAGTTAATTTTTTCCTCTGATCTGTTTACCCCACCTCGCCCGACACCTCTTTGTGTTGGTTTTGAATTGACTACATATTCTCTTCCAGAGATGGCTGTTAAGTAAAACCATCAAGATATTTCCTTGAATGAACTGAAACTTGCAAGTGAGGCAAGCCCAAGCTTTGGACTGCATTTCCCTGGTCATTTGCTATCAGTAAATGATTGTTGATCCGAGAGCCTTGGTTTCTGTAGCCAGAAGTGTTTGTGTAACAATAAAGTCTTAAGTAAATGTGGGACCCAAGAGAAATGTTACTGTGGTGTGAGAGCAGTATTGTGAAAGAAATTTTTGTAGAATGTTTAGATGGTTTGTAAGGTTTTGTTTTCACTTTATGAAAACAAGTTCTTTGGTACATTTAGTGCATTACTTGCTATGAATTGCACTTCTAAGCAGGCATCTACCAAATTAGGGAAGCACGTACAAATTAAGAATGGTTTGTCAAATGCAAAGAAGAGAAAAAATTATTTACTCTCTCTGTGAAATATCAATACTAATTTATTACATTACACAGTAAGCAGTATGCAGTATATCTTATATTTGTAAACCCAGTAAAGACACTTGTGGCATTTCAACGGTTAACAAATGTATTACGGCATATAGTTTCATAGACACCCTGTTCTCTGTTCAGTTTTGGTATCTTGGTAGATGCTGTATGCATTTAACAAAGTGGGCATTGGCTCTGGAAACTTATGCCATAATATGCTTGTTAAGCCTTGTAAGATGCCTATAGATTTTTGCTTCACCTCACTAGCATAGCTACCCATTTGTACCTTATTTCCACTAAATTTCAAGACAGATGTTTGTATGGGAATAAATTATAAGGAAACACAACCTTTTTGATCATTATGAAAGGGGTGCTTAGACATGCTAGTTGAAAGTGAAACTCCTAATCCTTTTAGAAGGGTTTTTAAGGATTTCTGGATGCCTCCCATTTTAAGACAGCTGCCTTATTTTGAAAGGATCTCCCTTGGGTCCGGGCATCCTAGTGTCATGGAAAACAAAGGGCTTCATCTGTATAGATACAGATATCTTTATATCCCGGGAATGGGGAAAAAGTCTCCAATACATGCAGTAATGTCAATTTTAGGTGTAATTTAAACAGGTGTGCAAATTTATCAGTCTTGCCTTCATAGCAGCAATTCATTGATTTGTCTTTTCAAATAATAATGCAATTAATGATTACTACTGATTACTACTATTGCAATTATTCTAACTGTAACTGTCAAACAGCAATCACTCTTACTAATTTAAATTTAGCCAGAGAGATTCTGCTATGGGGCAGTATATAAATGAAATAAATAACAACAAAACACTTTAATATAACACAGAGACAGAGAGGGAGGGAGGGATCATAATAACTTGATAGGAAACCCAATTCAATTAGCTTCCATGTTTAATGTATTTTGTACACTAAAACAGAATTATTCTGTCTCACAACAAGAAAGGATGTTTAAAATGAAAATTATGAGTTCTTTCTACCAAGCACAGATTTGACAAAGCCATATTCATTTCCATTTAAAGTAGGGAAAGCCTGGTGCATTTCCTGTTAATGTGTGATGCTTTGAGTGAAATTCTTCCTACTGAGAATCCTGGTCAATGCATGTGAATCTTTCAGATTTGCTTATGTGGCCTGCAACAACAAACAATTTTCTATGAGATTTACTTTGCTTTGTGGATGTGCTTTCTGAAATTCCTCTGCTTTTATATTTAGCATGTCTTGCTGCTGGATGGTGTTTTGCACCGTAGACTTTCAGTAGCAAAACATGTATATATTGTGATAGCTAAAGTACAGTTAGTGGTGTGCTCTTCTACAACATGCATTGCTTGATGGTGTCCCATTGATTTCATTGTCTCCTGTTTGTTCCAATTAATAGCAACTTAAAGTTGTTATTCTAAGCACTTTCCTTGACATTGATGTAGTTGTCTCTCAAACAAGTTATTTAGAATACAGTATTAAATCTGATTCAAATTCTCTTTTTCGGGGTATATCTAACATTTTTGCCACAACACTATAATTTAAAAACTGGTGTCATTATGTACAATTATTTTAAAAATGAAAACACTGCTGAAGAGACTTGAGGCTTGTTGCCTCTGTCTGGCTCAACATGGGAACTCCACAGATAACACATTGGCCTGAAACATTAGCACAGAATAGGAATGGAAAACTGGATCTTGAGAGTCCCATCCCTGGCACTTACAATTCAACTGAGATTTGCAGGCTTAACATATTTGCTTGTGCTAAATTACAGATGTATCCGCATTAGCACCTCTTTGCATGGATGCCAGTGGGAGGGATCATGTGATGAATCATGTGACATCTCAGTAGGGCTATTCTACTGTAAGATGGCTGTTGGCCTTGCATGTTCCAGGTATCCTGGACAGGAGGAATGCATCCTTCCAGATAAAATTATTAGTGTTATTTTTCTCTGAAAGACTAAGGGCAATGCTGTCTCACTGGGCTTCTCTTTTATATTGCAAATGTACACCGTGTTGTCTGTTTCAGATCATATGAGTTACAATTTTGTATGGCCATTTGTATCTAAAGGTGCAATATGACCTAGATGTTGCTGCTCCATAAAATCTCTAATCTGTCATTTCTCACACCACTATCATTATGCATTGGGGAAGGTTCCCATTCACTGAAGGAATGTGTTGCAGTCACTGGGGCCCATGCTTGCCCCTTCCCACCATCCATAATGAAAATGCTGCCCACCCATCCACGTGCATAGACAGTGTGGGAGAGGACTTTCCGTGCATGGAGTTCCTTAATGGCAGTGGAGGCCTGTCTGTGCCATTTCCCATGCTGCCAGAGCACATGAATGATGAAAGCATTGGGAAGCCTGGCTAACATTACTTAGGACCAATCATTCGTTGTTACACACTTGGAAATGAGAGTTTTATGTTTGATATTTCTTAATATGATTGAAATTATGGGGAAACTAATCCACATGTAAAGTTTATATCAGTATCCTTTATGTACTGTGTCAGCTATAGTTTTGCTTATATAAATATAACTAAAATGTAACTTTAATTCTTTTTTTTTCTCCAGGTACTAAATTTATTTTGTGAAGCTTGCGAGAAAGTGACTTTTAATGTGCTTTCCACACTAGAGGCAGGGACATTAATTGGCAGAGGTGAGACATTGGAAGAAATCACTAGAGCAGAGGTGGGCAACAGGTGGTCTGCAGACTGTACACATCCCACTAGGGATGCGTGAGGAATCAGGTTTGGGGGTGGGAATGCACTGGGCTTCCTCAGCTCCCTGGACTCCAGCCTGCTTTTTCTCTTCCCTAAATTCATTTCATGCCTACTGTGGCTATCTGTCAGGAAGCAAATTCAAGCAAAGTTCTGCTTCTTCACATGTGACTTTGCCCAGAAAATTATGTACTTTGCACAAAGAATCTACTACTAGTGTCCTTGAGTGTTCATGGACTTGATCTCAGCTTGACTTGCTTTCTGCCCAGAGCCAAGTGTGGGAAAGAAGTCTGGCAAGTGAAAAAGTGCTGGATTTCAACCTTATCTTTGCATCCTCACACCCTACTAACCTTGCTCATGCCCTCCTCCATTGTTTCTGCTGTATTTGGCTCTAAGATTGGCAACAAAGCAGCAAAAGCATAGGGTTCAAACAAAACAAGGACTTTCAATTGTTTTGCTGTTGCCCATTATTTTAGGTGGCAAGGTTGGCAATACATCAGGCGCTTGTTCGGGCTCTTTGGTGGGGTAGGGTGAGAACTGGGAGCCAGACCTTCAAGAGGTTGCCTGACCTACACTAGAGTCTCCTCTCTGATGTTTTTATAGTGCTTTCTGTGTTGTTTCTGATTTTATTTTTTGCTGTGTTTACATTACGTATTTATGCCTGCATATTTTCAAGTATTCAGGGCTGTGTATTCAGGGCTTATACCTACTTAAGGAGAATAAGCTTGAAGCCCAGGACTGAACTCTTCAGTACACTTAGTAGAGAGTAAATCCCACTGAACACAAGGCTTTTATCAGAAATACACACACACACACACACACACACACACACACACACAATTCTGAAGTTCTTAGGTGTGAGAAAATAAGTTTATTTCAATTATGATTGTAAACAACCTTATGAACACCTCAGCTGTAAGCAACAAAATTACCAAAAACATTGTCAGGTTTTCTGGACCTTATTCTCAAGAGTGACTCTGTTTATTCTTAGTTGGATTTGTAGATGTACACCATTCTGAGGGCTCTGGGTCTATTACTTCAAATTTATTTGATTGGCACTGGAGTACCTTGTGTTTGAATAAATGAAGCTTTAACTGTTCATGTGCCATCCAACTAAAGTGCCTCTGTGCAACCCACCCAATTTGCTGCCCATTACTGCTAGACTAATTTTATCTAAGTTAGTTTGAGGAATGGTCAGCCCCACATAATGCATTGATTAGGCTTGTAAAGTGCTTTACCAAGGCATCCAAATGTTTAGGGCATATTCAGTGGTGTTCTTCTGCCAGTGGAACAGACATTACTAGTGGACTGAATTACCTATCCAGAATCTGCAGCCACACAAATCCCCTCCATATCTTCTCTAGAGGACTAGGGGATCCTCTGGAGAAGATGTGGGAGGTATTCAGAGGGCTGATGGGGAGAAGGAGAACTCATACTGCATGAACAGAAGTCTGCTTCTTTCAGTTCACTGCTACTTTTCACCTATTTCTAAAGCAAGCTTCCCTGGCCAACAAATATGTGAAAATGAGTATATAAACTTTAATAGCTTGAATGTAGGATTCCATCCTAAGGCATATCACTGAATATATATTTAGAAGTAGGAGTGGTATCAATTCCAATCCAGTGTCAGAAGTTATACATAGACTTTAATCATTGCAAGAATATACAGAATATAAAAGGTTTAGGGCATAATTTTATGCACTTATAGGTAGAACAATATTCTACTATTTCACTCCCTGGTATACCCCAGGACTTGAAGGAGTATTTTGTTTCTAAAGAGGTGTGGAACTATGACTTTCAGGAAGTCGGATTAGGGATTATTTTTGGTACTTAGTTTTTTTATTATGGCTTTTATATTTAATACAGTGAATCTGGAACAGTGTTATAAGAATTCTGACCTGATCAGTTCAAGTGATCCGAACTTCAGAGTTCTAGAAGATGGGTCTTTGTTTACAACAAATGCTGTTTCATTGTCTTCTGAGAAGAAAACATTTACCATATTGCTTAAGAATTTGCAAGATCCTCAACCAAAGCAAATACATGTTGATTTGCTGCCACATCCCAAACAGGTAACTGACATTTATTCATATAGATATGTTTTCTATTTAGCAAGGTAGATTTCGGTTACATTCATCAGTAGTCAAACCTAGCTGTAAATGAATTTCATGGGTACTATCAGTGAACCACTGTTATTCTGGTTCACATTAAAATGTTTAGAGAGTACTTGTGCTTTAGTTAATGTAATTCCAGTATCCTTAAAGGGACCAAACCAACTTGCAACTATACAAGGCATTAAGCGATGGGATGGCATATAAAAACTCTAAATAAATAAATAAATAAAGAATTTAAACCATGTGCTATTGCAGGTTGAAGCCACATGGTCTTTAGTTCTCCTTCTTCCTTGTTTTTAGCATGTAGCAAACCAATATGCATGACAATTTGAGTTTTCTTTCCCTTGCAAGCTGCTGTTGATCTGATGGAGAGGAAACAGCAACTCTTGCACTGTGCTGAAGTTATACTTCAGGACATGATGTAAATGGGTCATGAAAAAAGAGGAGGAGGAAGAGGCACAATTCTGCTGCTTTCAACTGCAATTTCAGTTTCAAACAGATATAGTTATGGTTATAACATAGAACTTTAGAAATAATGTTTTAATCTCTTTTCAGTTAAAATTGATGTAGCAAATAAATAATGATCTGGACAGGAAACCCTATTTTGGGCAGTGAGGAACCTATTGAGCATGAGAGATAGATTTAAAAAATAGTTTCACATGGTTGAAGAATTTAAAACCTGCTTTTCCAAATTTCATAGCAGAGAAAAAGGAAGTAGATTCCATTGCTGCAGTACAGTAGAGAAAAATTAAGTGGATTCCCACTGGCAGGAAAAGGGGAGGGAAACAGTTTCTGATAATTCCCCCTGCAGTACCTTCATAGCAGGTGCAGAGGGTTACTCAGTTTTCAGAAGACATGAGGGCTGCGGGGGGAAGATTGATAGAATAGTAGGATTGGAAGGGGCCATCAGGTCCAACCTTTTGCTGGTGCAGGATACCAAGTCACTCCATCCCACTCTGATTGGCAAAGAGAAACTTGACAAGAGAAAATTAGCAAAAAAATTACTCTCTTCCCTTTATACACATGGGCGTCTCCAGTGGAGCAGAGCTCTTGATTAATTTCTGGAGAAAAACTGATGGATGGAAGAGAGAAAAGCAAATAATATTATTGACTCTGCACATTATTAATGTTTGTTTGTTTGTGTCTCCTAAACCCAGATTCATAGAACAGGAGAGACTGTTCTAAGACGAACTAAACGAAGGTGGGCTCCAGTTCCAACTATTATAATGGAAAACTCATTAGGACCTTTCCCAATGCAGATTCAGCAGGTAACTATTGATAAAATAGGAGATAAAGCTAAAATTTTCTTTTCTGTATTACCTGTAAAACATATGCTCCATGAACAAGATAAGCTGAAGAAAGCCTATGAAAGTTATTACCTTAGAAGATAACTGACTTTCAAGTGTCTTTGAACATGAATAAAGACACAGCTTGGTCAGTGTGTTACCAGTTATTTATCAGGTTGGCAACATTTTTTCATCTTGCTCAAAGAGGATCTTATATAGGAAACTGCAGGCAGTTGCTTACCTTACTTACCTTTCCTATACAAGACCTGTTTCGGATGTGAAAATGATACCTCAAAAGCGTTCAAGTCTGTTCCCTTTTATAAAATTCTTATAGTTTAATCATGTAACAATTTCTTATAGTTTTCAGTGTTCTTTATATTTGGTAGCCACAGTGATTCAGCTGATCATAGATTAATATGTTGCACACATATATACAGTGTGTGTGTGTGTGTGTGTGTGTATAAAGTAGGGATAGATTCCTGCATGTTGGTCATTGCCCCTTAAACTCTGATTACAGCTTGTGGCAAATGTTTAATGTCAATCTATTTCTCAGATAACAATGGAGCAAAAATAGTATGCTCTCTTGGTTTACTAAACTCTCTAGAGTAAATGTTACTGGAGTAAGTCTCAATGTAGTTAGCTTATCCATTGACCTAGCTGTTAAGTATAATAGCATAACCATTAGCAGAACTAGTATGGTAATTTATTATAATTCAGTCCAAATAATGATAAAGGGATAGACCTGGAATGCTAGCCACAGAACATATTTTATCATTACAACATTTGAACTAGTTTATATTATGGCCAAAAAGATTATGATTTGGATGCATCTTGTTCCAAGTGAAACAAAACACTAGCTTACCTAAGAGCACTAACCCAGGTTCTTTGAGTTGAGGAACTGCTCCTATGCTAGCTACAAAGCTCATCTTCTGATTCCTAAATACTGAGATATGAAAGAACTGAGAATTATTCTAATATGCAGTGGATAGGACAGAATGAGATTTGCAGTCTGACTGCCATGTGTGAATATATATAAATGAACTGCACCTGGGATTTCTAGAAAGGCCTGTAATAGGTTGGTTTTCAGTGCTAGGCAACTGCTTTCCTGTAGTTGGTATTTAGAGAAAGGTGCAACTAGCATGCATTTCAAGTACACAAATAGCATCCATGTTACTGGATTTTTTGTATGCCCTTTTTATTTTCCTCAGATGAATTGGAAAATAATGTGGGTCATCAGTAGGTTTTAGTAGCATCCATTGGGTAACTAGATGTGATACAACAATAACTAGTAGCAGTCATTAAATTACTACAGGGTTACTTCTTCCAGATAAAGTGCTTCTAGTTAGCTTCATTAAAGCAAATAAGACTTAATTGCAAGTAAGTGTGCTTATGATCACAGCCTGAACAATATAATCAGAATTTTGCTAATTTATACACTGTGAATACTTTCAAATGCCTGGATATTTTCAGTGTTTTATGAATTCTGTAATAATCTGGGTATCCAAAAATTAAAGACAGAGTTGTACTTCTTTTCTGAAAGGCAGGATGTAAAATTATTTTCTTTTGCTTCTTTTTACATAGCTCTCCTCCGATACTGCTCAGAGGTATAACATCACCTATTCTATACAAGGCCCAGGTGTTACTCAACCACCACTAAATTATTTCTATATTGAGAAAGAAACAGGAAATCTCTTTGTTACTTGCCCAATAGATCGGGAGGAATATCCAGAATTTACGGTATGAGTGTTAACTATGTCAATTTGAAAAGGAATAATATGCAAATAATAATTTCATGCATATTTTAAATGGATAAATCAACAGTTTGTATTGTGTTTTTCCCACATTGAAAAAATCTTCCTCTTTTTTCTACAGCTAATTTGCTATGCACAGACACCAGATGGATATACACCAGAGAAACCACTTGTACACATCATCAGAATAGAGGATGATAATGACAATCCCCCAGTTTTTGTATCAAATCCTTTTATTTTCTCTGTGCCTGAAAACAGCAGACTTAGTAAGCAGATGTATTATTCAAGTGTCTTTTCAATTGGTTTTATACAGTGCTAAGAGCTGGAAGGAGCAATCCTATGGCCCCTAGGCAGGATTTGAGGGACCATGGAATGTTCCAGATTTCCAAGTCCAAGGTCAGCAATGTACTGTGACCCTGACCCTGAGAATCGGAGCTTTGATCCACCTCCCTACTATAGTCAGCATGGAAAGAACCACACTGGGTGCTTCTCTGCTCTCAGGAAGATTAAAAAGTCCATCTAGTGAAAATATAGGGTGTGAAGATAGGGAGGTGAAAAGTGTCTCTCCCACTTCTGCCCTTCATTGGATGAGAGCAAGCCTCCACAAAGTCTGGGACTTTGCAATAGGATTTTGTCCTTTGGCTAAAATGCTATTTCTACTCATCTAGGAACAAGTCTTGTTGAATTCAGGGGGCTTATTTTTGAGTTAGATGTGCATAGGATTATCTTATCCTTCTTCTGATGTTTGATGCTAAAATCAAACCAATGTTGGGTAACTGTAATTTGTTTTAGTATTGTGTTTTAGGGTAGACTGCTCTATCACCTTGGGATGGGCAGATTAGAAAACAAATATATGCAACCATTCTAATTAGGTATGCCTTTTAGTGCTGTGCATTTGTCTCAGATATGACATGGGTCTGAGACAAATATTTCTGTTTTGGAGATACTTGAACTGCCTTAATATCTGAAGTGACTCTGATCTGAGTTATGAAGATATGGTGTAGGCTGGTTCCAAGATTTTAAAACTATTGTGTAGTTTTTGCAGTTTTCTGATGTTACCTTTTGGTCCAATTTGATACATTTTTGGATCTCCTCCAAGCTTTTATGTATTTATTAGATTTTTTTAGCCTACCTCCATTAGATGCACAGCTCCCTGAGCAGGTTACAAACAGAAGAACATGCCATATGGCAGAGGTGACTGATAGCTCCAGCTTCCAATTAGGCGATGTCTTGACCAAAGATTTCCTTGTATTGTGGGAGATACTTTGATACAATTCTGTATCCAGTTATCTGGAAGTGGATTCCACTGAACCCAACAGGATTTACTTCTGAATAGGCATAGTTTATACTGTTTGAAATTGGTGAGAATTAAACAACCAACGTGTAGCCCACATCTGGTATTTTATTTCTAACACTGCAAGCAGGACACTGTAAGTTTTGGCTAGCCTTATTGGTTGAGCCAAAAAAGCTTAGTTGGAAGGCCCCAAGTCTGAGTAGCCATCCTGGGCCTTTCCTGCTAGAAGTCAGTGTGGTGAATGCCTGGTTGGGAGACAGGTGCAAGCCTTGGTTTGCAAGCCATGTGCTTTGCAGAGAATCATGTCTGCCCCTTCAGGTTCTGTGTTCTGCTCTTATGCTTAATGGCACTGAAGTATAGTATGGGTGTGACCAGTGTAAAGAAGGGAGACCTGCTTTCATTGGGTCAGTTTGCGTGTGACAGCAATCCATCATGGTAAATCACCTCAGAAGGTTGTCGTTAAGTACCAGGCAACCCTGATGAGCCAGGCATGGTTACTTTCCTCTTTCCCCATTCCTTTCCCTCTCATTCCTCCTGATGAGCCAGGCATGGTTACTTTCCTCTTTCCCCATTCCTTTCCCTCTCATTCCTCCTGGTGATACCCCAGAGGTCACCAAAGGAAGGAATAAGGCTCCTCTCTTTGACAGTTGCATTCACAAGTCAGCAGTAATGCCCCCTCTTACCCTCTCATGGGAGGAGATTCTCAAGTGCACATGCTCCTTTCTTCCCTTTCTGCCTCCCACATGTTTGGGAGAAAGCCTTTGCCTCTGCCTTTTATTTAACCACAGCTTGCCATGTCATCCAGGCCCAGAATTGTGGCTGTCATTAAATAAGGTCAGTTTAAACAAGGTGGTATCAGTAACTGTGTTTTAAATTGGTTTTGTTAGAAACTAACCCTAATTAAAGCTATCCACAGTTTGTTGATGCAATTAAATAAAAATGGAAGAGAGAGCTTCCAAAGTCCGGTTGCATGAGAGATGAGAGGAGGAGAGAAAGCTTATGAGCCAAGGTTAATTACGGCTCATTCAGATTCATGCATCCCACACTAAATTATGGTTTAGTGGGACATACAGACTATCCTTTGCCACAAGGGACATGGGGTGTACAGCTTCAATAAGAAGCTGTGGCATGGTGCTATTTAATAACCACGTCCTTTGAATATTACTTAACTGGTGGCAGTGTTCATGTAAATTCTCATATATTGCAATTTTGTATAACCATTAGGAGACAATTCTACCCTAGGCATGGTGACTTTTGAAACTGCATTAGGTATTAATTCATACAAATATATTAAAAATGGCTAAAGCAAACCTATTTTTAATAGAACATGAAACATTCTGGCAGTTTTTAAGTAGTTTGCCTTATTTAGGATCTCTTTGATATGAAAGGTGTAGCTGTACCTGAGTGCTATCCTCTGCCATGAAACTTCTGTTCTCAGTGGGTCTAGCACTGCTCAGTGGGTCTAATGAAATGAACAGAGCTTGTGTAATAGCAGTACTTTGTGGGGGGTGACCATAGTTTTACTAATGCCATAATAAATAATTGTATATTGCTATCTTTTCAAGAATTATAGCCATACCAAGTTGTTTGTGATTGTATAATTTTTTAAGCTAGAGTCTTGGTTATAATTTTGATAGTTCCTTACATAAGAATGTTAAAAATGCAATGTTAATTGTTTGTATATGTAGACTTCGTCGTTGGACAAGTGAGCGCAACAGACAGAGATGAGCCTAATACGTTGCATACAAAACTGAAGTACAGAATTTTAAGCCAGAGTCCTGCACCTACTAAGGGCGGCGCCACATTTAATATAGAACCAGATTCAGGTTATATTACTTTGGCATCCTTAAACCTGGACAGAGAGGTAATTTTTAATTGAAAATCCAATGATGATGTTGTCTAGCACTGTATCTTATTAATAAGTCAAAATGATGGTTGGCACATATCCATGAATATCTGGGGGGGAAACCCAAGAGGTATATCTTTTCAGCAGCACAAGTTCACCAACAAATAGAAAACTGCTCTTGTGTGAGACTCTACAGCGTGTCCTTCCCTTTTGAGCTATCAAATTTCCTTAGAGGAAATTTCTATAGGTACTAGACAGTTTGGACAATTGTAATATGTTCCTCATGGTGCTTCTCTTGAATATGTTGGAAACATTGGTTGGTTGCCTGGTTCACCGTGCTGCAGCCAGACTATTAAAGGAAGCATGTGAATCATATGTTACAACCGCTTTGTTGGCTACCAGTTTCTTTTGAGGTCCAACTTGAAGCATTGGTTATGTCCTATAAAGCCCTAAGCTACTTGGGACTTAGCCTTGACCAAGTCTTAACATCTTCAGAGCGATCCTTCTCCCCGTCTTGCCACTATTAGAGAAACATTTGGCAAGAGGCCTTTTCAGTGCATGTTCTGAGTGTCTGCAGTTCCCTGATGAGAGGCCAGGCTAGCTCCATCTTTGTTGTTCTTTTGCCAGCAGATCAACATTTTTAGCTTGTGGACTGTTTGCTGTACTAGGTTTTAACTGATGGATGCTGTTATTGTATGCTCAAAGTACACAAAGCCTGCAAATCGCGTGTGTGGGAACAGAATTTTCACTTCCTGTTGGATGCACATGTGAATGCTTGGCTTGAGGCAGACCTAAGAGAGGGAGAGAAAGTGGGGCAGAGTCCAAGGATCCAAGCTGAGTAAATCTGAAAGATTCCCACCCCAAAACTGGATTCCTCATACAACACTGCTTTGGGTTGGCTATGAAGCTACTCAAAGGAACATTGACTTATTCTAGAGCACTGCCATTCTGACCAAGTGGCTCTGGGTGAGCCATGAGGATTGCTGCCCAAGTGGCACTTCAAGTGTCACTGCTTCCTCAAGCTCTCCTCAAGGCATGAGGTGCCAGCATATAGCAGACATCAGATTATCTCTACCCTGTTGCTTACTTCCCCAGCCACTTCCAGCTGTTGCAACAAACGGGGGAAACATATTGTCTTGGGCCTCAACGTGAGCAAACATGCACAAACAGGACTTGTCCTCTGTCTTCACTTGTTGAGGCACCTGTGACCACTGCACTGACCAAAAGCATCAGACTTCAGGCAGGGGTCTCCTCTAGGAGAGACCCTGCTGAATGTAAGTCCCCCCATCTTGTTTAGTCATGATTGTGGCTGTGGTGGGAGCAGAGGATGAGCTGCATTTTGCCAACTGCACTGCCTTCACTTGGAGGAATCCCACCTAATGCTGCCTCATCCCTGGGTGCCTCTGACAGCTGGCTAAAAGTGCTGCTTAGGCACTAGTCACCCTCATTCCTCTCCCCTCAGTGCTCTCATGTTGTTACCTGGGAATACAGCAAGGGGACTACAGCAGGTTTCTGAGCCTCTCTAAGATTTTTAGATCTGCTTAAGGCACAAAAAGCAGCCTCAACTATTCCTGATCAACAGGAATTGCTTTCAAGAAAGCAGATAGCAATTTGCCTGAACCAGTTAGGAGATACATTCACAGTTTCCTACTTAGTTCATAAAGTAGGTTATGGTTACCTAAAGGAGCGCGTACGTCCATATGTGCCCGCCCGCCCCTTGAGATCAGTGGGAGAGGCCCTTCTCCGGGAACCCTCCATGAAGGATATTAGGAGGGTAAGTACTTGGAGGAGGGCTTTCTCTGTGGTGGTGCCCAATCTATGGAATGTGCTCCCCAGAGAGGTCCACCTGGCGCCGTAGTTATTTGGGGTTTTTTTTGGCGCCAGGCCAAGACCTTTTTATTTAAACATCGTTTAATTGTTAATATTATTTATTTATTTTACATCCCTGGCCAGGACGTCTCCAATTATATTATATTGTTTTTATATTGTTGTTATTTATTTATTGCTGTGAGCTGCCCCGAGGCTTCGGCGAATGGGGCGGCATAGAAGCTTTCTAAATAAATAAATAATAATAAACAAACTGTAAAGACTATTCATAGGCTGTATACAGATTATGTCAGAAGTCTGGTTTTGCAGATGAGGGGGCTGAGAGGTGGTTCTTCACTAGGGTTATCTAATGCATTTCTGCCCAAAGCAAATTAACAACTCAGACCTCCTGGTTCACAGTTGGCAGATGGCAAGCACAGATGTAATATTAAAGGAGGACTCAGCCTTCAGTCCCTTCGAGGCCACCTTTCAGAGGAATGAAGGGACAGCAGTACCAGGAAAGGAGTCACTAGTTTAAACCATCCCCGTTGACCATCTTTACTCAATCTTTTCTTTAATGCTACCATTTCTGTTGCCTTTAAAGCTGTAAGGTCAAGTGAGTTGGAATGAAGAAACAGAGGTAGCATCTCTCTTCCAAGCAGGGCTTTTCCTGGATGTGCAGGGCTGATCACAAGTCAGAGAGAGGGTCCATCCCACTGGCAAATAGGCTAGTTAATTTATTATTATTATTATTATTATTATTATTATTATTATTATTATTATTACATTTCTATGCCGCCCCTTGCCGAAGCCTCGGTGCGGCTTACAACACAATAAAATACATTGAAATACAATAGAACATAATAAATTACCACTAAATACAAAAAATACACTGAGATACAAACATAATAATATAAATTAAAATTAACAGTATAAAATAAGTAAATAAATAATATAGGAGGAGAAAAGAGAAGGAAGAAGAAGTTGCCCTGGCCAGATCATATATTTTAACAATTAAAATGATGTTTAAATAAAAAGGTCTTTACCTGGCGCCGAAAAACCAGTAATGACGGTGCCAGGCGGACCTCTTTGGGGAGTGAATTCCATAGGTTGGGCGCCACCGCAGAGAAAGCCCTCCTCCGAGTACTTACTCTCCTAATTTCTTTCATGGAGGGTTCCCGGAGAAGGGACTCTCCCGCAGATCTCAAGGGGCGGTCGGGCATATACGGACGTAAGCGCTCGTTCAGGTAGCCAGGACCCAAGCCGTTTAGGGCTTTATAGGTCATAACCAACACTTTGAATTGGGCCCGGGCTTCAATGGGAAGCCAGTGAAGCTGACGGAGGACTGGAGTCATGTGAGCATAACGCCCCGTCCCCGTCAGCAACCTGGCAGCTCTATTTTGCACCAATTGAAGTGTTCGGACCGTCTTCAGGGGAAGCCCCACGTAAAGCGCGTTACAGAAGTCTAGGCGGGAAGTCACCAGCGCGTGTGTCACTGTCGCCAGGCAGTCGTACTCCAGGTAGGGGCGCAGCTGATTAATCAGCCGAAGCTGAAGGAAGGCGCTCCTCGCCACCGCTGTCACCTGAGCTTCCAAAGAAAGCTCCGGGTCGAGGAGTACTCCTAAGCTGCGGACCTTGTCCCTAAGAGGGAGTGTTGCACCATTCATTTATGGAATTTATGGAATCCAGGCATTGACAGCATTTGTTTACCTGTGCTTAGAAAATAATATAACTTCAATGAGCTACTCGTCTTCTTTCACTGCTCTTTTTAAAAGAATGAAAAAACTATGTCCACAGACTTTTTCTTATGTTCTTTTCCAGCGTGCAGACACACATACCTTGATGGTAGAAGCAAGAGATATGGGAGGTCAGCACTTCGGTTTGTGCAATACGGCAACAGTTATAGTTAACGTTGATGATTCAAATGATCATGCACCAGTGTGTGAACATAGTAAGGTATGTCTGTCATTTTCACAATTTAACACACACACACACACACACACACACATAAATCAGCTGTCAAAGGATGGGGCATTTTGAAGGTGTTCATTCATAGGGTTACCATAACTCAGAGACAACTTAACAGCACATAACAATTATGTTACTTGATTTTGATAGTATTGTTATTTTTTCCATGGCTTTCCACGTGTCCAAGTTTTTTAACTTTATTTCAGTTGCATCACCCTTAACAAAAATTGGGGTATTGTTCCACCAGCTCATTTGCTTTCTCTTTTTTGAAAATCTTCTGCTGAAAGAGAAAGATATATACTTTAACATTTAGATTTTTAAACTTAACAGTGACATTTCATTTTATTTTAATCCATTTTTATTTATTTATTTATTTATTTTTCATGATTGATTTATTCTCTTTGGTTTATTATTGGTTTAATATTATCCTGTTAGTAATGATTGTATTTATTATGATGTATTTATTATTATTGTTGTTTGATTTTATACTCTGTAAGTCATCATGAGACTCTTGTGAAAAGACAGAATAAAAATGTTTTATTAAATTAAAAATTAAATCTCTGTGCCAGAAATTAATATAGCAATCTGATGAATTATATCTTAACCTTTAAACTTTTGGTTCCCACCTTCCCCATTTAAATTAAATCTCTTTGCCAGAAATTAATATAGCAATCTGATGAATTATATCTTAACCTTTAAACTTTTGGTTCCCACCTTCCCCATTTAGATGTAATGTAGCACATATGAAGACATCTCCCAACAGGGCCAGCAACTGGCCTAGAATGATAGGATTTGCAGTTCAACACATTTGGAGAGTACCAGGTTGGGGAAAGTTGCTTTAGGCCCTAATTTATAAATCCACAGTGACTTCAAGTAACAAACAACAACATGTGTAGACAAAATTAATATTGTTTGTGATTTCAGTAGTTTGAAACTACGCTTGAAAAACGCATGCTCTTGAATGATGCATAATAAAACTAATATATGAAAATTCTGCTTTTTCTTCAGTATGAAGCAAGTGTTCTAGAAAACACAGTTGGTGCAAAAGTAGTGGACATTGGTGTCATAGACAGAGATGCACATGGAACACCAGCCTGGCATGCTACTTTCAACATTATAAAGGGAAATGAAGATGGTGCTTTCAAAATTACTAAAGATCAGGGTTCAAATATTGGTACTTTATGTATTGAAAAGGTAATGAAAGGTGGAAAAGTAGTCAAATGTAATGGGATGTATTTCCATAAACGTTTTAAGAGGCTAATGCAGAGGTTAGCAATAGTTTCCAGTGAGATTCCAGTGAGATCCTGTGTCTGTAGCTGAACTGTTCTTTCTGAAATGTATAGTTATTTCTCACCAGTGAAATTTTCCCTATAGTTATGTTTGCAATGACCACAAATTCTAGCTGTCTTTTTCCATTTTAAAGCAGAAGTAGTTTTTCTTTTATGTATTCTTTTAAAAAAGGGCCTGTGAAAGGAAAAGGAACACACAACACAGTATCAGTTGCACATCATTGGCTCAGTGAGTATTGTTCCTGCTATACAACTGGTGTGCAGGTATTGAGTGCTGTTGCTAATGTAATCAAAATGGCACTGACCATGCAAAAGAGGGTGATATCAGTAGACATGGTAGAATCCCAAGGTTTGCAGATGTGCAAAAACAGCTTTAGGAAAAAATGTGGAGGGAGCCTTTATCACCTTAGTTGCTATGAAATGTTGACTGCTGTATGGTGTGGAAAGGGGAAGAGGAATCGAATGAAATTCTCCAGTGCTAAACAGTGGTGGTCCTCTGGATGTATATGCCAGGTGAAGTGAACTAAGGCAGCTGCTAGGAAGATGGGTTTTTTTTATTGTGACATCCCATTTGTGGAATGAGTTCTACAGACAGGTTCACCTGGCACCTGTAGAATTTGGTACCGGGCAAAGACCTTATTTTCACAAGCATTTTAGTCTTTCATTTTAAATTGCTTTTAAATCTGGTAGGACACAACCCTATATATATTTAGATGAAAAGAAAAACCTCCATATTTCCCAGTATTCCCCACCCCGCCATCCTGGGAGCAGCAGGACCTATGTCTAAATAGGCATAGGACTGTACTTTTATAATATTTTAAAAGTGCTGCTAAGTTTTATAGTTATATTTTATTTTATGTTATTATGTTTTATTTTATACTGGTTGTTGTACACTTTAAAACTTTTCTGTTGTGTTTTATGCACTTGATTTTTGAAGTTTTGCTTCCCAGAGAGCAGTATAAAATAAACTAAATATAAATCTGCAGCCCTCTACATGTAAAATTATGTTGTATGCCCCACTTTAGTGTATATAGGAAATGACTGTGTAATAATTTGCAAGACCTTTGAAATTATTAGGAAAACTTAGAGATGGTAGTGGAATCAGGGTGGCTTCCCTTTGCTGCAAAACATTTTCTTTAACTCTGTGCTATTTTTGAGCTCCAGTATATCTGTAGACAACGGGATGCAAACTGCAGAAAAGGTTTGAGGAAGGTTGTGAAAGTGTCTTTCCCATTGAAGGTCTACTTGGCATTTGCCAATGAGAATGTGGTGTCAAACTGAAATCATGCTTCTTTGCCCAAATCTTGAAGATAACTGTGGCTGGAGAGCAAGCTGTACATGTGCTCTTTCCTGAGCCTACCACAGAATATTCCCAAGAGCAGAATTCAGCATGCAGGGACCAAGAAGGAGAGAGAACTAGGAAGTTTATCTTTCTTCCACTCAGTGCCTAACTAAATAGCAGCAAAACAGAAGGAAAATTTTAAGGCAAGTGAAAAGGAACAAGATCTGCAAAGAATACATAAAATCCTCATTTTGTTGGCAAACATATCTGGCAGGCTTCTGATACCAAGGAAAGGGACATTCCATTCCCAAATTGCTTCAAAAGAGGGAACTGGATTTTTAAAATAGACAAAAAAAGTTGTTTTTTTCTAAACTTCTTTGTGTCTTTTTTATACGAATATTAGAAATAATAATGAAATGATATTAACTTGCAGTAAGTTTTGTAATCAAATTTGTCTATATTTTGTAGGGATTGGACTATGAAAAAAACAAGGAGAGAAAATTGGAAATAGTGGTGAATAATGAATCCCCTTATGCTTTAGCACCGAATGCAAAACCAATTACCACAACTACGTGTACAGTTTTTGTCAAAGTTCGGGATTTGGATGAAGGGCCTGAATTTGAACCTTGTATATATGTATTAAACATTAAGGAATGTTTACCTGCTGGAACAGTGGTTGGCAGATACCTTGCAAGGGATCCAGAAACTAGAAATAGTGAAGACTTAAGGTATTGAATTTTATCACCTAAATTATTATATAGCATTTTAAAGTTGGTATTGTTCTTTTATTCCCAGGCATAGCTCTGGGAATAAAAAGTCTACTTTGTATTGGCTGGTTGTATATGTTACACAAGCAATCTGTATTCTGTTGCTTTGCAGAATGTGTGCATTTGCATTGTGTTTATTGGATGGCATTCATAGGCATCCTACAGGACTGCTGGTGTCCCAGCCACCCCCTGATTTTTCTGCCACTGCCACCACTTTTTCCTATATTCCATACCTGTAAGCATCTGCAGGGCCCTCCATTCTTTGCTTTTTGTACAATCAGAGCTTTGAGAAGGAAACCATGTAATACAGTCAGCTAGGGTATTTTTCACATTGAATGAAGGGGATAATGTCTGTAGGATCAGTGGGGAGCCCAGACTCCGCTGCAGCACTCAACTTGCCACACACCCCATTTGAACGCAGCTTTCCTGCTCTTAGCTTCCTAACAACATGGCCAGAAGTAAAAACAACCACAGTGATACCAGCTAACACAAGTGCCAGTTCATTTTGTAGCACCTTGCTCAGTACTGCAGAGAATACCTTCTTCCTGGGGGGCTGCCTCAGCTATTTGTTAGTCTGCAGTTGCCATTTCTTGCGTGGTGAAAAGGAATTTTGTTTAGCTTATAATGAAAAAGTAAGTCCGGCAAATTTACAAAAAAAGACTTTCATGGTTCTGGGTTACTTTTGGTGCCTCCGTATTGTTGGCTGCATTGCCAGATGTGCCAGCCAGGGAAGGAGAGGGAGTTAGGTTAGCAGGCCTGACTGTTCTAAAACCTGCACTTCTTGCCCACTTGCAAGTTTTGATATTAGAGTCGCATGGAACTGCTGCAGCCTTGCGACATAATTTTTTTCCTCCATATTCTGCAGCCAGTTACCCAGGATAAAGCCGCTCAGTTGCTGCATCATGGCTGTACAAGGGGATTTGCATAGGCCTATTCCACATGTGCCCCATGCCCAAGTTTCCTCATCCCTGCTTTAAAATGTAATACATTTATATTATAAAAGTATTATATATTTGGGTATTTGTTTCTAACAGCTTTATTTATTTCTAACAGATATCAGATAATAAATGACCCATGTAATTGGATCACTATGGACAACTCAGGTCAGATCAGAACCACTAAAGTTTTAGACAGGGATTCCCCAGACTTGAGAAACTACCAGTGTAATGTAACAGTTTCTGCAACTGACCGAAGTGAGTATCGCACATACCTTGTTTGCATTATGAACAACTTCACTAAAGGGAACAGTACTTTCTTATGGGATGTGCTCCCACAAAGAACCATGAATATCATTAGGAAGACTGCATCATTGCCAAGCAGTGTTTGGACCTAATTTTTCCAAGTATGTTGCCCTTTCTTACTGGTGTTTTAATTTTTTCATACTTGAATATAGTTATTTTACATTGACTTCAACTATATTCACTCAGACCCTTTTACTAGTATGAAATGTATGTAGAGATGGTCTATGCACAAAAAGATGGTGCGTTTCTTAGGTGACAATGATTTGAACATTGAATTTAATGGGAAAGAGAGATATCTTAGCTCCTGGGATTTACAAGGTTATGCCAAAACTATCAGTATATTTCACAATTAAAATCACAATGTTTTGTGCAAAATAATACACCCCCAACCTGCATTCAGATTCTTTGCTCTACAAAATAAGAATGCTTTTTTATTAACTGTTTTATTTTTATTGGTTCCAATATCAACCATATATGAAGGCAAACCATGGTTTCCTCTTAACCAGAATATGAAACCCTGAATTTCCTTAGCATTTTAAAATTTTTAATCAATTCTTTTAAACATTCTTGTACTGCCACAAATAATTAACAAATATTACAATAATTGATAAAAAGTAGCTAACTAATAATACCTCTAATAAGAACCTAATTATAGGTTAAATTAAAGCATATCCTTGTATTTTGTCTAGATATTCTTATTACTGGTGGTATTTCTATTTGTTTCCATTATTCAGTTTATGCTATTATTGCAACTCTATCTATACCACATTAAAAAGTTTTTCTAACCAGTGAAATTAAGATATACCTCCATTAAATGATTCTTAAAGTTACACATAACTGACCAGTGGATACAATATTACTCTTCCATCTAAATTTCAGGCTTTGTCAAAAATTAGTTTAAAGGTAGCAATGGGGAAAGAGGTGCCAGAATAGTTCTTACTTCAGCACTGTAAGGGTGAATATTTTTCTGCACTGTTAACTTTCTTTAGCACCTGCTTTGTCTAATAATCACACACACTGAGGAGTTCATGATGATGTCATTGTTCATACCATAATGAAATAACAAATTGATTATCAGCCTTATGACTGCTCAAAAATGTTATTATGATGTATTTGATTTAGTAAAAGTCATCCCAGTTATGAAACATAGAGGCATGCTCTGCCTTTGGGGCCTGTAGAATTTTCCCAGTCTCCTGTGTGGAAGGGAGAAGCTGGGTCATTCTTCTGTTAATGGCAGACATGATGCCATTATCTTCTGAATGCCAGCTGTGAAGCTGCAAAAGTGAAAACAAGTGTCTTGCAATTGTACAAGTTTAGGAGTTGGACTCCTCTCTGGACACATCTGATCTTATTAAACCAATCTCAGACTTCACTGTCTGTATGAATTTTCATGCAAGTAGCTGCTGTAAACAAGGGGTGTTATTCTCTCAAGCTGTAACAGGAACACTTACAATTTCTGAAGTGCAAGCCTTCTCATTATAACTTATAAGCGTGGGTTGCATGGAATTTCAGAATAGCATTACACTGTAAGACTGGCACTAAAATTGTTTGTATTTCCTAGGTGGAAAAGTAGGCACTGGAACAGTGGTGGTTAATCTATTAGATGAGAATGATAATTTCCCAGTGATTGTTCAGAAGGAATACATAATGTGCAGAGACAGAAAGCCAATTTGCCTTACTGCTGTGGATGCTGATATAGAACCTCATACAACTCCTTTTCGTTTTGCAATTCCTGACCAGATGGTTCCCCAGTGGAAGTTTACACAACATGATGGTGTGTATCTCATTCTTAAATTTTACTTCTGGTACAACAACTAACATAACAGTTTGAAATACTGTTCACCACTGTGTTATATTTCTTTTACAGAAAGATCTATATATCTGGAACCAAGAGGCCACATAGATTATGGTGAATACACCATTCCTATCCAAGTAACTGATAAAGGAGGTAAAAGTGGAGTGACAGAAGTAAAAGTTCACGTGTGTGATTGTACCACCCCTAGTGACTGTCATCCTGCGCGAGTTCCAAGACCTGGACGCCAGGACACGTCTGATGTTACTCTTGGTATCTGGGCCATCCTTGCCATGATTTTGGGATCATTATTGCTATTATGTAAGCAAGTTTATCTTTTTTTTCTTAAATAAAAATGTCACATCTGCTCTGAATGTCAAATTGAAGGGAAGAGAAGATTTAGATTCCTTTTGACATTTTAAACCTGCAAAAAAGTTAAGCTGGTTTAATTCATTGCCCATTTATTGCATCAAAAATATTCTTGAAGCAACCGAAGGCACTATCCAGTGGGAATGCCTGTCAGAGTTCAGACTTGGAGGATTACAGTAACCTCTAATTAACAGGGAGGGAGGAAGGCACTGATTTGATTCCCTGCAAATCATCTGGATGGCCAATTTCAGTTGTGTAGCTGTGATGCTTCAGATGGGAAGGGAAAGATGCTGGAGAGCTGCCAAGTTACATCACAGAATAGTGGACCACATTTCCTCCCTTCCTTGCAATGCTCTCTTCACCAAGATTGGCCTTATGAACCTGGAGGAATAGTTGCTGTGCCCTTTCCACACTGGCAGTGAGAGAGGAAAGGGTGTTCTGAGTGTGGATCCCCAGTTCTGGAGCTGGAACTCATTTTCAGCCTTGCAGTTGGGAATCTAGATGCTGCTTAGAGGGCTATGGTAGGGAGGAAGGCTGGTGGTTCATCATATTCACCAAAGGTCATTAAATCAACATGCAACACAATAATTTACACATATTAAACTGACATGTGGACAATAACTATATTCATTATCTAAATTATCATTTTGAAGTTAGCCAACAGTCTTTGCTTATCTTCACTATTGCAAGTCCAATATCAGGTATCATCTTACTAGCTGAGTATTATAAATAAATGTCAACTACATATTAATCAAATATACTGAAAATCTGGATTGAATGAGGTGAGCTGTTTCAGGTTAGAACTTTTGAACTGGTAAAAGAATGTGATCACTATTTTCAAGTGGTTGAAGCCAAGCATACTAAATTTGCATTCCCAGACTCCCAAAACAGTATGATAATTTAGTCTTCAGTTGTTTCCTGAGCTGAGAGGAAGATGGGGATGATCATGTGAACATTTCTTCAGTTCTATAATCCTTTCCCCTGCTGCTTCTCAGGAAACAGTTTAACAGCAGCAATGAGGGGACTGCTTCTTTGGGCAACTTGATTCTATGGGAATGTTTCATCAGATGTTATGAAAACTGATTGGGATGGCAAAGCAAGGATAAGAGTGTTCTGTTCACAAGCAGGCTCTTCTCAGGCTATGATCAGGCCCTTCTCAAGTTAATTAAAACAAGCCAGGATCAAACTGTGTTTTATGATCCTGACATGCTCACTAACCAGAGTTTAGACCAACTTAGTGCCCTCCCTTTTTGTGGAGTATAACTCCTCTTAACCCTACCGTGTATGGACAATGTTCAGGAAAGCTAGGGATTGTAGTCCAAATTATTTCAAAGTTGCAGGCTGTGAAAGGCTGGCTTAAACTGACCAAAAATTCCTGAGTTCAGACATAATAGGGAAATTTGGTTACATTAGGTTGGAAATTGATGGTTCTGATCTTCTTGGGTATGTGCCAGAGGAAAACGGGGGAATGCCCAAGCCTAGATTTTGTCATATTTTATGTAACACAGACATGTCTGACAGATTTGTGGTCCTCCAGATGTTTTGATAACTCCAATCATCCCTTTCCATTGGCTATGCTAGCTGGATCATGGTTTGATGTTATGTCTCAACTAGCCCAGTTAGTAAAAATAAATAGATAAAATTAAAAGGGGATAATATTGAATACAAAACTGCCTATCATGGATTTCAGTACCACTTGCACATCCTTTCATTTTGGATTGCTTTACACATACTGCTTAGAACTATTAAAGGCAAAAGCCTGTTTTGTACCTGTATAGGGCAATGCACGAGAAGAGGTTGCCTTTCAGCTTGAACCTTCTTTGTCATGTTTGGTTGCCTTCAACTTGTGGGGATGAACTGTCTGAGGAGAACATCCTCCTATCTTTGAGGCAGCTCTCTATGTGAGCAAAAATGTCATTTGTTTTCAAGTTAACTCTGGATTGTTTAATACTTAAACCAAGAATGTATGGGTTCCATGTCAGAAAATCCAGGAAAGAATGTTCCTTGAGTGTTCATTAAAAGTCAAAATAACAAGGGCATCACTTACATGTCCTCGTTGTCTGCACAATTCCTAGGTTACAATACCCACAAATTCAGCAATCAGTTTGGGTCTATATGAGGATAAATGGTGAAGGAATGGGATGGACTGTGTATGCTACACTTCTTGGAGTAAGGGTGCCATACAATGCTGACATCAAATATTAGTAACAAATAATGCATACACATCCTGGCGTCTTGTTATTTCTAGTTTTTCCTCCTTTTCAGTAATCCTGATAACACTTTGTGGTTGTTGTGGTGCTGCACCTGTGAGCACAAGTAAGCATGTGTGTGATGACTTAGCAAATCAGAACTTAATCATATCAAATACTGAAGCTCCTGGAGAAGAAGTAATGGTAAGTTGTTTTTATTTTTATATCTGTAGCATCTACAAATGCCAGATGCTCTCCACACTTAAGAGATGGGCCTTCTAATCTGGACACCTGGGGGTGGGAAGGCAAAAGAAGGACAGAGAAAGGACTCCACATTGACCTTGATGTTGTTAACAATGTGCTCCTCAAACTCTTTCCTTGATTTCTTTGTCAGCTTCAATCTATCTTGAGCAAGCTTGTGGTTCCTTCTGTTATTTTCATTTGGGCAAGACTTCCAATTTTTTGAAGGAAGCTTTCTTCTCCCTAATGAACTTTGACTCTATTCATTAACTGTGCTGCTGGTTTTCTGGACTTTGTACTGCCTTTCCTCAGGGTATGCATATTGTCTATTGTACAATATTATCTATTGTAGTGTTTTTGAGTAATCTCCAAGTGCTTTGGAGTGATTTAAACTTCTTGATTCCTCTCTTCAGCTTACCTTTTACCAATTTCCTCATTTTTGAGTAGTTTTCACTTTTGAAGTCAAATGCAGCTGTGTTTGACCTCTTAGGCAGTCTTCCACTTAACTGTATATTAAATCTGATACCACCATGGTCACTGTTTCCCATTCATTCATTCATTTTTATACCATACCACAATGGAGCTCTCTGGATGGTTCTATTACTATTCCATTACCATTATATTACATTGGCTTGGCAACATTTATGTCTTGTACTATGTTCCAGGCAACCCCACCTAGGCCTCCCTGATTTCATTATCCATCTCAAGATCACCCTGAGCATTCTGCTCTAGAGGACAATAGCATACTCCTATGACTAATTTAGTTTTGGAGCCAGGAATTCTCATTCAAAGTGCTTCTGTGGAGGAGTCTTTACATTTTAGATTATCAAGTCTGCTGGACTATTTGCCCTCTTTAAGGCAACACCTCCTCTGGTATGCTATTCTCTGTCTGTCTTATACAGTTTATGTCCAGAGAAGGCTATGTCCCATTAATTATCTCCACTCTACCAGGTTTCCATAATATCCACCATATTTAGCTTCTCCTTTATCACCAGGTACTCCAGCTCTCCCATTTTGGCCCCAAGGCTTCTAAGTATTAGCCTAAGCACAGTGTCCCTATCCAGCCACATGAAACTTTTTTTTCTGGCACTTAGTCCTCTCCAGCTGGTCCTCACCACATGACCAATTCAGAAATCAAATTGACTATTTAATTGGAAAAGGAAGATTGAGAAACTGTATTCTAACTGCCAAAACAAGACCAGGAGCAGATTGCAGTAATGACCATGAATGCTTAATATCAAAATCAGACTAAAGCTGGAAAAAATCACTAAGAGAAACTTGGTGTCAAAATTCAACTTAAAATAGTATCCCTGAGGAATTTAAAATCCACATAAATAACAGAATTGTCTTACTCAGCTTAACTGACTGTGAAGCAGAAGAACTGTGGACTGAAACCAGAGAAAAACAATTCCTGTAGCATATGCACACATTCGCACCAAGTAGATAGATGACAGAAAAAACATAATTGCTATGAATAGGTGGGAAACAAAAGCAAAAGGTGACAGAAATAGTGTCAGAATCCTGAATGTCAACTTTTCAGCAGCTATCATGTCAGGACGAAAAGAACTATTACAATAGCCTGTAAAAAGAAATAAACAAGAACAGCAAAAGAGGAAAAAAAAGAGATCTCTTACAGAAGTTCAAAGAAATCAAAGGAAAATTCAAACCTGGAATAGGAATGCTGAATGTCAAACAAGGGGACATACTATCCAAATAGGAGAAAATAAAAAGAAAATGGAAACAATATGCAACAGATCTACACAGAAGAGATGAAAGGGCAACAGACTCCTTCAAAGAAGAATCCTGTTGAGGAAGAGCCTGCAATATTAGAAAGTGAAGTGAAAGATGCTATGAAAGCACTTGGAAAGAATAAAGCACCTGGAGTAAAGTTGATATCACTAGAACTGTGTGAAGTTGCAGAAACTGAATCAGTCCAAATCCTAACAAAAATATGCGGACAAATATGGAAAACAAAGTAGTGGTCCACAAACTGGAAATGCTCAGTGTAAATTCCAGTTCCCAAGAAAGGAGAAGAGTACAGCAACTTTAATACAATGGTTATTAATGGTTCAATAATAATAACCATTGTTATTATATTGTATTATTAATACAGTAATCATTGTATTAATTTCCCATGAAAGCAAAGTGATGCTCAAGTTGTTGCAAAAATAATAAAAAAGGACTGAGAAATGCCTGGAGTTCATCCAGGCTTATGAAAAGGTAAAGCCCCTTGAGATCACATTGCGAATATCCATTAGCTACTGGAGTGTGCCAAAGAATTTCAGAAGAAGACAAAGCTGCAGCAAAGTCTTTGTGTAGATCATGAGTAGCTATGGATGGTCCTGAAAAAAACAGGTGCATCTAGCACATATCTTGAGAAAAGCTGGATTAGGATCAGAGGAAGGAGTAAAATTAGGAGAAGGCCCATCAATAATTTAAGTTATGCAAATGATACAATAGGCCTAACAGAAAGCAGCAATGATTTAAAATGACTCCTGGTGCAAGTGAAAGAAGAATGTTCAAAAGCAGGACTGCAGCTGAACATCAAGACAACAAAAATCATGACCAAAGAAGAATTACACAGCTTTACTGCTGACCACAAAGAAATGGGAATTGTACTAGATTTTACATACTTTGCCTCAGTAGGGATAGTGCAACCAAGACATCTGAAAAAGTGTGGTATTTGGAAGGGCGGTAATGAAGGAACTAGAGAAGTAATCAACTATAGGGACATATGAGGAGAGCAAGGCCAAGATCAACTACACTATTGTAGTCTGAGCACTATGTATGGGTGGGAAAGCTGTACAGTGTAGAAAGCTGACAGGAAGAAAATTGATGCATTCAAAACACTGTGCTGGAGGAGAGCTTTGCAGAAACCTGGTCCAACAGAAAGATGAACCAGTGGGTCCTAGATCAAATCAAGCCAGACCTTCCCCTAGAAAATAAAATGAGAAAGCTGAGACTATCATGCTTATGCATATCATGAGAAAGCAAGACTCACTGGAGAAGACAGTCAGAAAAGGGGAAAGTGGAAGGCAGAAAAAAGGAAGACCAAATGTGAGATGGACTGACTCCATAAAGAGCCAGTGTGGTGTAGTGGTTAAGAGCATGGGACTGGGACTCAGAGGATCTGGGTTCTAGTCCCCGCTCAGCCATGGAGCCAACTGGGTGACTTTGGGTCAGTCACAGACTCTCAGCCCAACCTACCTCACAGGGTTGTTGTTGTGGGGATCAGATAGATGGAGGAGAATGATGTAAGCTGCCTTGAGCCCTTTGTGGGAAAA